GAAGAGATTATTGAAATATTCTGTTGCCTCAGTTGATATATCATCATCCTTTTCTACCCAAACGCCGTTGGATTTTTTTATACGGTGTATCATTTCTTGAACGCGTCTCTGCCTTACTACCGTATGAAAGTACCTTGAATTTCTATCTCCGTGACGAAGCCATTTAACCCTGGCCTTTTGCCTCCAAAATTGCTCTTCAATTGACATTGCATGCCGCAACTCTGTCTGTGCCTTATTGAGCTCAATCTGACACTCTTCTGAATAATCTTGATCCGCAACCTCCTCTGCTCTATGGACCGCCATTTCCGCATAACGAACAGCATCAATAACATTCCCAAAGTGTTGCTTGTTCCATGATTGAATAGCCCTCCTCGTGGCCAATAATTTGGAGCACAAAACGCGCAATGGAGATCCCCCTACATCTTGATTCCAAGCCTGGCGAATCACCTCCAAGAATTGTGATTTTGTAGTCCAAACATTTAAGAAGCGGAATGGCCGAGGTTTATTATCTGATCGGGTCGCAAACGTAATCTTCAATGGTGCATGATCCGAGGGGTGTCTTGCCAAGTGAAGCACAGAGATTGTGTTAGAGAGATCCAAACAAGATCCATTGATTAAAAATCTGTCCAACCTTTTTGAAATTCGAGCTCTACCCCGCCGATTATTAGACCATGTAAAGCTAGCTCCTGAGAAGCCTACATCGAAGACCTCAGCCTCCTCTATGAAAGACATGAAATCCGCCCCCTCAGCTATAGCAAATAGACAACCCCCCCCCATTTTTTATGGTGCCAATATTACATTAAAATCACCCCAATACACCAAGGAAGTAAACTAGGCTTATCATGTAATAATGAACACCATAAGTCTTTGCGCTCCTCCACTGAACACTTTGCATGAACAAAAGACATGACAATTTTACTAGGAAGCAATGGACTTTGAATATCTAGAGAAATATGCTGATCCGAACTACCAACGATAGAGCAAACAAAAGGACTACTATAGAATATCCAAATATCACTTGAGCAATTAACAAACACATAATCAAAAAGTAGACATAAACGAATGGACTCAATTTTAGATACGTCTAATTTTGGCTCACAAATCACAACAAAATGAGGATAATGCATCCGTATTAATTTAATCAATCTTCTTAGATTAGGAAGTTTAGCTACCCCTCTAATATTCCAAAATATTCCATTAATCATGAGAAAGAACCTGGAATGAGTTTTTGGATGATGTATCTGACCGTAACTGTCTGTCAGATAGGAAAGGAGCCCGCACACCCTTCTTCCGCATTTGTCGGTAATCACAATGAAGCTCCTCGGATTGATCAATGTTTAGAGCGTGCATTGATGATTCCTGCATCTTTTCTTGTGGGACCCCCATTCATGGAGACAAATTTCTTGCAATATTAGTCAAGATACGTAAATTTTCCCCATGTTGTGTGGAAGCTACGTCTTCTACCCCATGTAATTCAACATAGAGGTGCTCCAAAACTTTGTTGTCGGCCAGCAATTCATTTCCATCGATATCATTGTTGTCAGTCAGATTATTTTGTTCAATGTTTAAAGCATTGATTTCGGCCAGCTGTTCTTGTTCGCGAGTCAAAGATTTCTCCTTAAGAGGCTGGGTCCTTTCATTTTGAAAACCAAGGTGCTCCTCCAGCTGGTTTCCCATTACCGCTTGTCCCCCAAGCATTGCCGCATTCTCCATGTATCCATTTACATTAGAGGACTTAGGCTGGGTTTCTTCTTCCACTACAGTAGTGTGAACACCGCAATCTTGCTGAACATCCCCTTCCTCATCTTGCAAAACAGATCCAGCAACCTTGTCCGTTGCACCTGGGAAATTTTTCCTTCCATCCAGCGTAGCAGTAATCCGCTTTTCATGAGAAGAAACCACAGTATCCATTGTTTCATTCGCATTACCAGCTGAGTTACTAACAGGTTGAAGAATAACAACCTGATTTCCAGCTAACTGTGAGTCTTGCTGCATCTTCATGGGCTGTTGCCGAGACCCAACCTTATCCAAATTCTTTTTGCACTCCACATGAGAATGTCCTAATCGCGAACAAATAGAACAATACGGAGGGATGTTCTCTGGCACAATACGTTGCCAGAAACTAGATTCCCCTTCGACAGCAATCCAAACTCCTGGCACTACAAGCTTCGCTACATCTATCTCCACGCACACCCTGGCCACACTAGGACGAGTCCCAGCAGCTGTTGCCGAATCTAGGAACAATGGTCTTCCTACTGGAGATAGAATGGAAAACAAAGAGTGTTTATCAAAATAACGAATAGGCAGAGACGGAAGAGTTACCCAAACCGGTACTAGAGATGACTCCCTTTGCACATGAAATTCCCTGGTCCATCGAAACACACGCGTTGGATAATTACCCAATTGCCAAATTCCTCTAGTTCAAATTCGGTTGAAATCTACTTCAGCGGAGCACTTAATAAGAACATGCCTATAATCCAATAATCAAATGGAAACTTGGTCTTTGAGGTTTAAAGAAGCAAAAAACTTTCGAGTATCTTCCAAGGAAGGTCGTCTGTGAGAAAATTTGCCAACCAAGGTCCATCTAAATGGCACTGCAAGTCTGTCGGCATCTACTTTGGAAAAAACAACCGCAGCTTCACCCTTGTAAACTGAAGCCTGTCGAATCTGGATTGGAGATGTAGCCGGCTGTGAAAAGAGTTGAGAGAAGGATTTTTTTGTTGTACCAGATAGTTTTTGCCGCTCAGCCGACGGCTGAAGGGCTACCATGAACACTTACGTTCACTGGTGCAGGCTTCTGGTCGGTAGTAGACAAAACAAGTGACCAGAATGGGGTTCGTATACCTGAATTGGAGGCGTTACCTGCGACAATCTATAAGCATAATGTGTGGGGCATATACTAAGACATTAGTTTATCAAAGGGTTTGACGTTGAAGATGATTCAAGTAATGAAGTTAAGGTGAAGATTAGTTGAGCTACACTGGAAAGGATCCCTTTAAGGCAAATAGAGGACTGAAACTTAAAATACCCTTATCCAATGTAAGTTGTTGTTACTATAAACCTACCACATTTAATGCATTTAAATTTTTCAAGCTTATTTATATCAGGAGGGAAACAAACTATGTCATCATTAGCTACAAACCATGAGTAAAAATTTTCAAAACCATCCATATTCCCACAATTTTTCTAATGAAACTCCAACAAAAGAATATAATTTCAAGTTTCCATAAAGTTGTACTCTAATTAATGTAAAGGTATTTTAGAAAAATAGTTACCTAAATTGATTGTTCCAACAAAGTTAACTACTTTTTCTTAAACTGTGTGAAAAAAATCAGAACTATCAAAATGGGACGGAGGGAGTATTTATTAACCATATGGTTATGTATATATATTGAAAATCATAAGGGAATTATATTGTAAAGTATTAAATCATAAGAAGGTTGTATGGTAAAATATAAAATCATACGGGGTTAGAGTGTCACACATATTATGTTTATATATTTTGATCACTTCAGCCATTTGAGTTTTAAACAAAGATAAATTCAACATTTTTATATGTTCCTTTATGGATGATCATTTTCATCGCTTTAATACTTTAATCCAAACTATGAAAGGATTATATATAATTTTTAAAACTATATGGGGGTTATGTATGAAAATACTAAATCACAGGGAGGTAAAATGTAATTTGCCTAAAAAAAATAAATAAAAGACTATCTTCATAAAGCATTAGGTTTAAATGGTACCCTTCGGTTGCACATGAAAAATTCCGGTCCTGCACCCTTTCCATTTTAGCATGATTTTCGTAATTTTTTTAACAAGAAATAGTTAATCCAAGAACACGATTCTGTATACAAAACTTAATTATTATTTTTTTTTTGGGCAAAGCCCCAAATTGGGGTCAGGATGCCATCCTTTAATTTATTTATATCGAGAAAGAGTACAGCGAATTGGAAGGGGGCCAAACCTGACCTCTGTTAAAATAAAAGAGACAGTTAAGGTAATACGCACATATGGAAAAAAACTGCTATTCTAAACAAATAACAGATGAATTAAAAGAAATCATCCACATGAGAGTGCCCCACAATTGTGGGATTTTGAGTGAGCATGGGAATTTGGTTTAACATCTTGACGTGTTTGCATTGTTTTACCTGTTTTTGAGAGCTGCTTCCTTGCTTTCTTTGAAATAACTTACGTAAAATGCTCTTGAACTAGGTTCTGGTCTTGATCTCTATTTTTATCGCATTGTGAATCATCTTCTTTTTCTTCATTGTTGTCATCCTTGCATATTGGTCTTAAATGATGAAAGGGCTTTCGATACATGAGGAGGATGTGAGGACCCATAATTTTATTATTTCAAAATATTGTTAAATTGGTCATTTTAAAAATATTTCGTACTCGAGTTACCCAAAAAAAAAAATACTAAAGTACATGAATTTCTCGAAAATAAATTTTACCGATTGGTTCTTTACGCGCATATTATTTTGATGCCCAAATTTATTCAAGATGAATTGCTTATCGTGATTTTTATTGTTATATATATATATACTTGGATTATCATATTTTAGAGTTTTAGAATCGAATAAGTTGAATTTCCAAGTTCAAACGAGAAAACCCTCAAGTTTGACCTTTATATACGCGCGTGCCGAAAAGGCCCCGACAGGCACATTAATTTGATTAATTGGAGATTTTAAGAACATGATATTAGACTACTAGTAATGTACTATTAATGTACTAGGGAAATTACCTCAGAGGTTTAGTGCACAAAAGTTGCAAACGAGCGCAAAAATTGGACACGCGAAGACCCTAAACGGACCTAGCATGAGTTGACACTTAGACTTAATCATTAAGTCACCAATTCTCTCCACTTTCATTACAAATTCTGATTTCACTCTCTCTCCTCTCTTCACTCTCTCTGTTTGGCCAAAAATAGGAAGAAAAAAAGGGAAGAAAAATCTAGCCAAAATCCTTACAAAATTACTTCAATCCACTTTCAAATTTCATCATCCATTAGAGGGCTTTGATCCTAGCTTGGAAGAGGGGGCTGTTCATCGGTTTTCTTGGAGGAATTTCGGTCAAAATTTCTGCCCTAAAGCTGTCCAACTAAGTTCTTGAGGTAACTCACTCACCCACACTTCAATCTTGCAAAATTATAGCTCAAATGGAGCAAAGGTAGCATGGGTTTGCAACCTATGGTAGAATTTGGGTTGATTGGTTGAGTAATTATGTTCTTGCAATTTCATGACATGCTCGAGGGTTTGAGGATGCTTATTGGTGGCTGATGTGATGAATTAACATGTTGTGGTTGCTGATATTGTGCTATGTTACATGTATATAGAATGATTGATGGAATGAAGTTGGAAGAAAGTTAGAAATTTGGAGAATGTATTGTCTGAAATTTCTGACCTGCTGCCCGACTTTCTTGTTTGCTGCTGCCCTGTAATTTCGAATATTTTCTGGTGCTAATTGAGCTTCCAAATTGGTGTGGATATGTTGTGCTATGTGTATTGTGGTTGTCTACCAAAAATCAACCCAAATGGTTGGTTAAATTTTGAGTTACAAGTAAAGAAGCAAAACTGGAACAAGCTCCAGAATTTTCTGACCAGCAACATTTGTGTAGCTATAACGTTTTGCTCGTTGATCAAAATTGAGTGCCATTTATGGCATTTGAAAGTAGACTCCTAGAGCTTTAAAATGGTACCAAGCTCATTTTCTAGTTCGTCCCGAGCGATTCGTGGCGAGTTTTGAAAGTTGGCTGTCTGTTTATTACTGTTCATCCGAGACTGTCCAGAAAATCCATTTTGTTGCTTGATTTTGAACCGCTTATGTCTGGATTTTGGAAATGATTTCTTCTACATAAATATATCCTTGTGAACCTAGTTTCTAACACCACCAACCGTTTTCAATATCACTGAGAATCGAGTAAGATACGGCCTAATTAGCGAAGTGCATTAAATCTGGAAAATTTCTGGAAAGGCCAACAGTCCAGGAATTTTAGCGAACTTCAACTTTTTATTTCTTGAGTTAAGAACATCGGAATCGAGTTCCGTTTTTTTATTTGAAACTTGGATTGGAAATTTACATGCATATCAAATTTCAAAGGCTGGTTTTGATTCTATGATTTTTAGCGAAATTCAAAAATTATTGGAAAAACTTGGATTGTTTTGACCTATCTTCAATGAATAGTAAACTTTCTTGGAGAAATTGACTTGTTTCTGATTTGATTTTTGGAAAGTGACCTTCTACAAAGTTGTTATGCTTCGAATGAAGTTTATGACGGTGTAAAATTTTCTATTTTAGACTTTCCGAACTTCCGGACTAATTTTTCCACGAATGACTCGAAAAGTGAAAATTTCCAATTTGGACCTAAATGTTCTTTTAAGGGCCTAGGTTACATTTTTACAACTCTTAGAGCATTTCAAACCTATCTTCATGGTAAACTTGAGTTCACCTATCACTTGAGACCTCATTTGAAAGTCGGTTCCTTATGAACTGATATACTTTGGAAACTTGAATTTTGGAGTCAAAATTGACTATTTCTTTTCTTTACACGAATACTGTATGGCCTGGAATTTGAGATACAATGCATTATTGCATACTTTCAGGATCTCAAGAGGACTTCGAGGGAACTCCCGGCGAAGCGTCTTAGAGCTAATTTCTCAAACTTTGACTTTTGATACTTGGTGAGTATCAAGTGCATATGAAGTGTTTAAATGAAATGATTCTTGTACTTGCTAGTTAATGAGGCTAGGGCGTACTTTATTGCCCTTGTCCTCTCTTTCATGAAATTGCTTGCTTGATAAGTGATACGTGTTACATGTGAATGCAAATAAAAGTATTTTTTGTGAGCATTGAGCGGCAGAATGTATCATGCCCTTTTAGGGTAGGAGGTACCGCTCATCCCGTCTCAATGCTATGACCAAATCTTGTCGATTGGAGCTTTGTCTCATCGACCTAAAAGTGAATGGGGGAGGACGCCCCAACCCATTGGCTAGCCTTGTAACTCGAGCCGGCAAGGGCTTGGTCGAGAAACTTGGTGAACCTTGGGAAGTGTTACAGCTTGATCCAAATAAGGGATCTTGCTAGGTATACTTGTTAAGTGATACCACCTACATGCTTGTTTGGTTACGGATCCAAGAGGGTGTCATGGTGGCTGGAGGTAGTAAGTGGAGTTCTACATGGATAACTGTGAAAGTTGACGGAGGGTCAACTACCTGAGCTTGGATCGTGCGTGGATTAGCTCCTGAGAGCTCCCGTATCCTTTATTGTGATTAAATTCCCTAGTTGCTTAATGTTTCGCAGTTACTTGTTACTCGAGTTATTGCTTTTTATTGTGTCTTTGCTAGCATGCTTGCATGTTTTTCCCTTGGCCTCACTGAGCGTTAGCTCACCCCAATTTGTTTTTCTTAACAGGTTTGAAAGTGGAAGTTCTGAGGCTTAATTAGTGACCCCCAAAAATAATTTTTCCCCACAGGGCTCGAGGCCAAAGAAAGCGCTTGTATTGAGTTATTAGTGCCTGAAGGGATATCTCATATATAATTTGAATTCGATTCACTTGATAAGTATTTGATGTAATTATTTGAGAACTGAGGACTTTTGTCTTATTCGGGGAATGATACCCTTACTTGAGATTTGTAATGTATCTTATCTCGTTCTAAGTTTGAAAAATGTTATATCGTTTATTCTTGAGGTTGTACCCTATGTTATTGGATATGAGTGATGTATTTTATTTGAGAACTGTAGTGAGTCCCGGTGAGAGTTGGGCAGGCGGTCCGCCGAGCCTTTTGATTCGCCTTAAGGGGAGGTGGGGCTGTCACAGGGGATCTTACCATGTATTTTCTCCCATTTAAGCTCTTCGAACACATCTTTAAATTGTGGCACATCTTTAATCTGTGGCTTTTGAGGCATAGAGGATTTCGTTTCTGTTCTTGTACTTGTACCCACAAAGGGTGCGTCTCCAACTGACACAACATCACGTGGATCATGAATTTGGTCTATCTTTGCGAGCGCACCGTTTGCCACATCAAGCTTAATTCCAGTACTTTGCTGTGAGGAGTCGCCAATCTCCATCGTCTTCTCTTTCGATGCAGCCACTGTGGATACGCCATTTGCTGGTTGAATAGAATGGTCATCCTCAGACTCTGGATCAGTGAATTCCCCATCATGAAGTGGATTCGAAGTCGAAGTTTGCAGTCCCACAACTGCTCTATGCTCCAGCTCCACAACCCGATCTACAACAATAGCAGACTTTGCAGCTTCTCCCTTATGGCTTTGCCCAATATTCGGTTGGAGATCATCAGGATTAATAGTATCCAAAATAAAATGCGAATTATTCCCTAAAATGGCAGTCTCCGGAATTGTCTGAACATGAGCCTCGACTGTCACACCCTACTTAACCTTCTTTGGAGCATAAATCTGTACTGGTTCACGATCGTTTACTGTTCTGTCAGCCTTCAAAGGATGAAGAGTAGGATTTTTTTTAAAACATTGATCTTGAGTATGCCCAATCTTTGCACAATGATGGCAGAATTCTGGCCAAAACTCATAATCAATTTTTTACCATGCACCCTTAGAGTCATCACCAATCCAAATACGTCGAATAGGCGCCTTCGATACATCTAACTCAATTAACACTCTAGCTACGGATGACCTACGAAAATCTGAAGTTGCAGCATCAACCTTCAATGGCCTCCCAATGAGTGATGCAATCTTATTCAAATACTTCATATTAAAGAACGGAAGAGGAAGCTCAGGAAAAGATACCCAGATAGGAGCAATTGATGCTTCATGATCTGCCTTGAAATCGATAGTCCATTTGTTGATGGTCATGGGAGAATTCTGCACGAACCATGATCTTCGGACAAAAAGACGCATGTAATCCTCTTCCAGACATGGCCGAAAAAGTACATGATTGTTATCTAGTAAACCAACTGGGCAATCCCCTTTCAATCCAAGTGAAACAACAAATTTTCTGATAAGCTCCATAGGAGGCCTGCTATACGCAAACCTGCCCACAAGAAAATTCTTAAATGGTTCAGAAAGAGTTAAAATTTCTTTGCGAGATATCAAAAGTGCCGGCTCCCCACGAAAGGTTGAAAGCTGGCCCAAATATGGAATAATGTCATTGCATGACGAAGCAGCTGCGTTGCCTGTTAAAGCAGTAGCAAAAGACTTCACCACAGGAGGTTTTCCTGCCACCCCTAAGGGCGGATCGGGCGTCGTAGCCGCGCCGGCCATAGAGAAGCACTTGTGGCAGTTGACGCTTCAGGAGCGGATAACGGAGGAAGAGTTTCTTTTTCACTTGGACATTTTGTCAAACATGTGGTAGGCCTGATTTTAGCTCACATGTCTCTTGAACTTTGGCCGAATGTAAATCCCAAAAATTTTTTGCCAACAATCAAAGGATGAAAAGAAAAAACAATGGATGATAAGAAGAAGCTCTGTTAGTTGTTCAGAAGAAGCAAAATCGGTGTTTTAGATAGGTAGATCTGAAAGACAGAGACGTAGGCATGTGTCATTGGCCAACAGAGTTTGGACGTTGAAATTGTTAATTAATAGACTTATTGATATGGTGTGAACTATTGTTTACCGAAGCATTTGTATACAAAACTTAATTAACCTAAAACATCCAGCCCTAACTAGAAAGATAATTCAACTTCCAGTATAAAATTTGAATTAAAAAAAAAAACAAACTCGATTTCAACACCAAGATACCGATAAGAACAATTAAATGTTCAAACAGTACGGATACAAAATAATAAAATTCTGATAGAGGAGTAAAATATACTAGAATTTTACTCGTGTCTTGATCTTTATTTATTCATTTATTGTAAATTTATACAAATATGAATAATTTAAATATAAAAATTAACAATAGTTCTACATGTTCATTCATATTAATTTTAAAAAATTAATGTATTTTAAATGTTCAATTATTTATTAATTTGTTTACATACTTTCACTATAATATGATAGTATGCATCAAATAATGTACCCCATATCCAAAACTTGGTAGATATTCTTTTTTATAAATACTTTTTTAGATAATTTAAATTTTTATAATGACCATAAACCTAGAATTATATATTCATACTTAATTAAGTAGAAAAAGATCCATTAATCCATTTTTTTATCAATAAATATTCAATTTTCAATAACATTGGTAAATCTATTGATGTGACAACTAATTCTCTTTTTTACACTAAATTAATTCTATATTAAAAAGAGACGATGAACAATTTGAATACTAATAAATAATATGGTGGTGAAAGGAAGTAATTTATGGGATATATAAGATTTCAATAAATGCAATTTAAAAAGGTTTTACTATACTTTTATGTAATAATTTGGTAGAAAGCAAATATCATTAAGATAAAAATAGTTATTTTTTAAAATTATTTTAAAATTAAAGATAATTTTTAAACATATAATATAATCATTATAATAATTTGATAAAAAGCAGATATCATTAAGACAAGATTAGTTATCTTTTAAAGTTATTTTAAAATTAGAGATAATTTTTAAACACATAATATAATCCAAATAGGATTCAGTATGGGTAAAAACTCAAGTGACCCATAACCCGTTAATTCTCTTTAATTAGGTATGCTACATTGGAGTGAGAAACAATATGATTAAAATAGCAATTTTTACACACACACACACACACACATATATATATATAGGCTTCATCTCTCTAATTTTGTGGTAAACAGAAGACGGAATTTTACAAACATATATACTTTTATGTCTGACGAGCGTGGGGTATACATATATCAATTTGTTTATCCATAGTCAAGTTTTACATTTGTAACTCCTAAATACTCCACATATAATTTTTCGCAAGTATATGAGTCGTAATTGAATATATGGTATTAAGAGTCGAGTTCACCGGAAAGAATGTCAATTACCGGTAATTTTTCAATTTTTTTATTATTTAGACTATCACAAATGCAAGAAGTTAAATCTACACTACAAACATGAGATAAAAGTAATACAAATAACACTAGAAAACTTCTAGAGGTATGGAATTCCTTACTACTCTTACAAATGAAGTTACCAATTAAGTGAATGCTATTATCTTGACTAATTATGGTGTAATTTTCTAATGTATGCGATACTTGCTTTCGTCGATGTACCAAATATACCTATAGTTAATTCATACCTACTTTCGTGATTATGAAACTAACTATAAATTCATTTTTTCTATGAAATTACATGAAACAATGACAGGTGCCGAACCTGTGCAATAATAAATACCTACTCGAGAAAAATACAGATTTTGTATATAGCAGTGAGTAGGGTCGAATCCATAGGGATTGGGGATAATTCGTTTCTTCTAGAGTCCAAAGTATGGGGGGTTTTGGATTAAATGCTAACTAAATAAATTAACTGCAGAAAATAATTAATTAAAAGAAATAATTGGGGAAACTCTAGCCAAGGGTACACTTCAGAAATGGTTCATACACTGATCATCGATTCACAGATAATTCCACATTTATTAATAGATTGGTTATAGTTGTCATACACGCGATAAACAACCAACCTCTCCTTACTTTCTCGACAGTTAAGGTACGACCGTTAACTATTTCTCTAACCCAAAAACAACCCTAGGTACGACTGTAGGATTTAATTTCTAGATTGCATTAAGAACTAGAAAGGCCCAATCCTAACTAACAAACACGCTAAGAGGGTTTGTTTAAATTAGATCGTATGTTTCCCTGACATAAACCCAATTATGCCAGTTGCTACTGGGATAGAGGTAACGAACAATTACGGATTCAGTTATCCCTATTTAGCAAAATAGCCTACATGAACAATTAATTATTGCGCACTAATCAATCATACATAAGAGCTATAACAATTAAAAGCGGGGAACATATAAATATCAATAAATGAAGAAAATAATTAAAAATAATTTAGATCTCACAGTAACTCCTAAACCAATTCGTCAGTTGCCCCTTGACTAGAAATAAGAGGCTAGTTCTCCATTAATGGAGAACCAACCTATTCGAAGCTTACAATTGCTGTTTCCCAAATTCCGTCCAAAGAAGAAAAGTAAAAGACTGAAAAATAAAAAACCAAAGCAATTCTCCTTTTCAAAGTCGGCCAAAGGAGAAAAAAGTGGAGAGCAAGTCTAGTGCCCTCACGTCTCTTATTGTTTCCTCCCCGAAGTCAAACAGGAGCCCTGGCCAAGTAGCAATCCCGCGGGATCCGGCTTTCTCTTTTCTTTTGTTTCCTATTCAGCTTCTACTACTCCCTCAAATCCGTGCAAAGGAAATCAAAGGACCAAAAATTGCTGTTTCCTTTGAGTATTAATTACGCGGGCCGGCCATCCTCTCATTTCCTAATTTGTAGCTTTTTGAAACCAAATAGACTTCCTCTTAATCTTCCGTCAATAATCCATGTAGACTCCATTTTGAATTGGGAAACTCTTGTAAAATCACATCTTTTATCTCTTTTTGCTCCACCTTCCTACAATTAGTACCAAATACCAAATATAAGTAGAATCAATCAATTAAAATAATATTTGGTATAATAAAAGAGGAAAATAATCATAGAATTAATGGCAAAAATATAACCCATCAATTTCCCCCACACCTAAC